GTTAAGGTAGAGAACCAACCTAAATGACATAATATACACCCTAAGAGATATTAAAACTAAACTTGAACCCAAAATGCAACTTGGTTTGAGAAGATATTTTAGACGAGGTTACCCATGACTGGTAACAAACTATCTTACAGCTACTTGTGACTAATCAAACCACAAACCCCAATGCTTCAAGATGACGGAACCATGGGAACTTGACCGGGTCATCCAAAACAATAAAAATAAATTATAAAATGAAAAAACAAAAATAAAATAATTGGCTAATAAGTGTTACGTAACCTAAAATTTTTAACCCCAAAAATTAAAAAAAACAATAAAACTTGAATGAAACTTTAATGAACAAAGATCACCGAACACAACTTGAATCCAAGATACCCAGGTCTACAAAGATCTTTTGGACGACGCAATCTGTGGTTGCTGACAAGAATCTTCTGGTCAGAGTAGGTTTGACCACCTCTCAGATTAAGTAGATTAGGGTACCCGACGACCCTTGGACGACGGAGCCATGGTCATCTTGAGCGAGTTGTCTAAAAATTAAAAATTAACAAACAAAATAAATAAATGAACAATAACATAATTTTCTACTAATTTTTATTTTGCGGGGCTACTGAAGACAAAGGGAGGACATCACCCTGGATTTACATTATATATAATTAGGGTCTGCTAACTATGATTTGCAGGGATGAATATTTATAACCAAGAGTAAAAGGATGAACCTCAACTAAACCATTAATGACAAAACAAAACTCTAAGATAACTCAAAATCTTTAGGAACTTGCTACCTCTAGGATATGACTTTCCTTTCCTTGATAATGACATTTGAACTTTTTTAGAACAAATTATAGCCTCAATCGGGAGTTTTCTCAAGCAGTCTTGACTACTTAGGATATAATTAACTATAGAGACTTGACATTATAGGAGGATGATTACTCTAGAACAGTTACATCAACCTGAATTCTTTGGTAGTTAGCATTGGTAAGGTCTCCTTCACAGTTATGTATTTAAAGCATATTGATTTGATCTCATCTTGAACTTATGTTTTGGAACTATCAATGCGAAAATTCACTTTATGAAAGCTTCCCATATACTTCTTTTTTTTGTTTCTGTTATTGCCTGTCTCAGTCCTCCAATTTCTCACCTCTTAGTTTACCCACATGATATGAGATGGAGAATTATTCGAAGAAGAGGGAAACATAATGGAAAACAAACTATTGACTCCTCAACAACAACAACAACAACATCATCAATCAAACAACGAAATGAAGACCGATGGCGCAAACGAGCGACGCCAGTCATATTTGCCATTTGTTTATTTTTAAAACTTTTAATGATATATTTGTCCTCTTTACTGGGATTGAAATAAAGTTATTCAACCTTGAGAATAGATCAATAGTTGGAAAAATAGTTTCTTATCATATATTAAGAACAAATGGTTAATTGTAAATTGCACACAATACTAATAGAGCTTCACTTCATTTTTTTTTAATATTGAGGAAGAAAGCTTCTTTGACTTTAGAAGCTTAGGGTTTGAGATCATTGGACATTTATATTACAACTATATTGAAAGAGTAAACGCTCGTAAGTTAACTTGCTTTACTGTAAATGAATTTTAATTTAAACTCACTAATATCTCAAATTCCATGTGTTTTAATAAGTTACATTCTATTTGTTTGATTTTATAACTTATATGTATAGGGATCCTCATATATAAAAGTAATTCATTAAATCCTTGGATGAGGAGGGCAAAAAGAATAATACCAAGAAATCCTTTGAAGAGGCTTTAGAGGTAAATCTAAAAGTCATTCTAATTTAATTGATAGCATTATTTTTAAAGTAAAGAATTTTTAGTTTAAAATTTATCTAATAATCATTAGGTGTCAAATAATCAACTCAGGGAGATTATGCCACTTTTTATGCAAGGCCTTAAACTATAGGGACTAGATATTCTCAACTTCTGCTAATAGAAAATGAAGTTATCCCTCAAGTAAAATATATTGAAAAGGTTTCCATCATTAGAAGAATTTTTAGCTCTATAAGTCATCTTCATCGTTCAACAACCGTGCCTTCAACTGAAGAAGAGGTCACAAGGAAAAAAGTCGAGGATGTTATTTTTAAGAAGCAACAAGATACAATAAAAAATGAAAAATTCTATTACTAGTGCCTTTATAAAAAAAAAGGTCAACATTCCTTCTGAGACTACTACTTAAAATACAAAAATAATTCTGACTTATAATAAACATAGAGTCATTGTTATGGATGGTTAACATAGAATTGGTATGGGTCAAGTAAATATGCTCACTCAACCACCTACCAACTTGGCTCGGCGATTCACTCCATATCATTCACATATGAATACAAAATGTCTTCCACTAAGATTTCTACCTTGCTGCCATGCAGGGTCAAGTAATAACATGCTTATTTACTATCATTTGATGAGTTCTCATAAAGGATGGTTTGCCAATTTCTCGACGTAGGGAATACTATAAGTGATAGTGAGAAAAAAAATATGAAGATTTGAATAATGTGAGAGTAATCAACCAGTCAAAATTGATATATAGAGTAAATATATAATGAAGTGTCATCATGAACTTCAGGAAAAAATTTCAAGAACTTCAATATTGTCTAATATGATAGAAGCTCAGACTTAAAGGGTGGAAGAGTTGCAAAAAAAAGCGTGCTACTCCAGAAGATAAACTAAAACAAGCAAATGATAAGATATCCACTATGAATACTTTTATTGAATTTCTCAATTTCCTAACTAAATTAGCTATTATCCAAAAAGTTATTCAAGAGAAGTTTATGGAGGGCATCAAGTATTGCTTGAAAAAATTAGTAGAGAAAAAAATTTCTTTTTTTGGTTTGGAATGCCATTGATCATTTAATAGCTTACTAGAATAATATGACAGACGAACTAATGTTAATTTTCTTCTTCTATATTTTTGTTATATGCATATAGAGAAAAGTAAACAATGTAATCAACATTCATGAAAGAAAAATCTATCTTTGTAGTGAATTCTTCTTGAACGTTGTCTTCTTTCAATATGTGATAGTATTGCTTATTTATTTTGCTGTTTCAAAAAAGATGAATTCCAATACTTCATAAATAATCTAGTGAATTCCAAACTGGCATATAGAACTCCAACTTAGATGAATTTATAAATTCAATTCTTACTCTTCCCTTGTTCTTTGTATAATTCTTTGCTAAATTGTTGTCATTAATGAGCCGTACCTTGTTGGCTTGACATATGTTTCAAGAGTATACTCAAAAGCAGAGATAATTGACGCTTGAATGTTGATCAGTTAACCAAAATTGCAAAATTCCAATAGCTAAAAATAACATATACTAAAAAGCTGAATTTGAATAACAAGATTTGAATAACTGAGTTACATAAGTGAAGCAAATTTCAGTTGATGAATTCCAGCAATGTATTGCAATAGATGAATTCCAATTGATTAATTCCAGTGGGCAATTTCTAATTAACGAAATCCAACTGATAATTTCAATTAATGAATTCCAATTGTCGAATTCCAATTATTATACAAAGAAAACTTCTTTTACTCATTACTTCTTAAAAACATTTAATTTATTTTTTAAAGATGTTATGCGTGCGTGCGTGGGTATGTGTGTGTGCAGGCGCCGCAAGCCTTGACCTGTTGGTGGCAGGGTCACTCTAAGTTCTCTCAGGTCAATGGTTCAATCCCATCGTGAACACAGGCTCTCATCATGAGACTTAAATGCTCATGAGAAATAGATATTTAGGCCTCTGCCAAGTGTCGATGTCTTTTTTTTTTAATATATACTCCACTCTCTCAAAATTCCCCCTCTTGTTAACACTGCGTAAATAACTTGTTTCATTTTCTAAAATATATTTCTAGCTGTAAGAAACCAAGCGAACCAGGAGCTAAGTGCTGGTTCCGTACATTGTTTTGGACTTTTCAGATATTAGCTTCAATAAGTAAAACATTTATTTTTTGTTTTTTAAATAGAACTGAGAATCGCAATTTTAAATAAAATAAAAAAATAATAATAATTAAATTTTAATAAATTAAAAGCCCATTTCATCATTCATGCTTTTTGGTCTGTTTCTTCTCAATTCAAACCTCTATAATTATTTCTTTTCAATTTCGTAATAAAAAAATCGCACAAATAATTTATATATATAACTCTTCAATTTATCTAAAATAAAATAAAAATAACCGTACCATATTGTAATTCAATTTGACTCAATTTTACATGTTGAATGGTTAATTTGGCCTGGATTTTTAACATCCAAAGCTAATTAGTTTCCGAACCATCCAGAACTGGGAAAAATTTTCTATCCAGAATCCGGATGTAGCTCTACGTGCGAACTCTCAGTAATATACTGCCATGTGTTCTATATTGGACCGACCTAAAAAATATTAAAGTGGAACCACGAAGGTTATTGGAGTGGAACTAGAGACTCCAATAACCCCCACAATACCCCCGAAATAACCTCTATGATGGTATTTCAATGTCATTGAAGTAAAATATACTAGTTTCTATTCAATATCATGAAATAACCTTTGCAGTATTATTTTGAGGTTATTGAAGTGAAACTGCAGAAGTTATTTTGGGGTTCTTGAAGTAAAATATATAAATTTCTCTTCAATAACTTTGAAAAAACTTCTGCGGTTCCACTTCAATAACCCCTTAAAAACATCCGCGATGTAGCACACATGATGACATATTATTGGAATTCACATGTAGAGCTACGTCCGGAATTCGGACAAAAAACTGACCAAATCCACAACATGAGCCATAAAAAAAAATTTAGATGTCAATATTATACTTATCCTTATTTTAAGGTTTCAGATCTCAATGACATGATTATTTTAAAATATTTTTAAGAATTTAAATAGAGTTGCGAGTCCCTGAAAGTTCTCTCATCTTGAACTTTCAAAAATTTCTCTTTTATAAATCATGTAAACAATCATGTCTAAAAATGCAAAATAATAATGATAATAATAAAATATCAAAATTTTATATCTAATTGGAGATTGTAGAATCACTCTATGTTCTATGTTACACCTTGCAAGTTTTGTAAACCTTTAATATGGCATCAGGAGGAGTTCAACAAAAAGCTTACCTTGGAAATTTTGGTCGAGGAAAAATGGATCATCTACCATAGCTAGCCTCTTCCGGCACAACAGTCAAATCAGCCACTTTGTCATTTGCTCGATTAACTGTGACTTTGATCGGCACGCCCAACTTATCTCCCATTTTCTCTATGATCTGCCAGCAAAAGCAAAATCATATGATGCCCACAAAAACAATCACAATTAAAATATATGTATAAATAAAATAAGAACAAAAAAATAGGCAACTTTAAAATTTTTATGAGGAATTTACACAAACGACTATACTTTGATATGTAAATATGACAATTTAATGTCATAATCACATTAAAACATGCATGAAAAGGTACAATTCAATTAGAAATATCAAAATATTAGTAGCATTTGTAATGAGATGTCAAGGAATTAAATGTTATATAAGTCAAAATTAAAATTTAAGTACTAGATATATAAATACATAATAATTGTGTGGTATGTATGTAAATCTCCTTTTTTTGATTTACTTTCATGAATGCAATACATAAACAATTAATCAGTTTTTCTACTATATAGAACTTGAAATAAATTTTAATCAGCATGTTTTCACTCAATCTTGTTCTATTCACATCCAATTGAAGAGTAGAACAAAAAACTTCCAAGATGTTACAAAAGATTCGATGCCATAATAAATTTATAAACATAAGTTTTGGCTAGCTAGGACGAGAAAACAAATGTAAATTACAATTAAGTAGAAAAAAGCAAAAAAAAAAAAAAAGGATTTATACCTAACACAACACATTAACAAAAATCAATGGAAAAAAAAAGAGCTTTCATAAGTCCCACCACAAATGAATGGTGATTATGGGTGCTGCAAACTAGAGTTCCCATTGCACAAGCCACCAATTCCCTGTAGCTTTCTCTCTCGCCCCACCTCCCTTTTCCTCTCCTTGCCCGATAGCAACCGTCAAGCTCTTGTCCCCAACTCCTTTGCTTTAGTTTATCGTTGACCCTTCTCTTTGCTTTTTTACCCAATTGCACGATCCAGAGGTTCCCCTTTTTCAGATTTTATTTTACGTTCATCAAATTTCATGAATAACCAACCATGCCTTATTACTGCATAGATTCATATTTATTTATTGGTTTCTTGTATTTCCAATAATTGTTGCTGAATGTAAAATTGTTGCGATAAATTCAATTGTTGCAATATAATTCATGTATGATTACTAGTGGACATAGTGCAAATTATACTCCTCTAACTTGGTGTCTATTGTGTGAAATATGTATGATATTATAATATTTTTATGAGATTTTCATGGGATTGGCGCCCTACCTTTTCTTGTTTCAGGGTGTCGTAGAAGACTGACTATATATATATATGTGTGTGTATTCTTTTTATTGTAAATTATGTTAGTATAATAGAATATCATCCATTTCTATTGGTTATACTATATGTCCTAGGTTCTTATCTTTTATGTTTTAATAAATAGTAGTTATTTACTGAGTTTGATTTGTCAAACTCATTTGTTGAAATTTTGTATAGTAGGTTCCACAATCACTCGAATGACTGTCTCCATCGATGATTTTCTTTATGGCATTTTCAGCATTTGCGTTATTTATTGTATTCCTCTTTTGGGTATGAGTAGATATCCATTGCTACTTCAGTTATTTTCAACTATTTTCTTGTTTTCTTTCAGTTGTATCACTTGTTGAATTTATATTTATGAGAAGAAATAAAATTTATCTTTCTTACTTATTTCAACCACTGCCTGTATAAAATCTTTTCAATTGTGACTACAAAATATGATCAATTCATTTCATCACATATTATATTGACATGGTGTACCATCTTCGGAATCCGGGATGTGACAGATTAACATTCTAAGTCTAAGAGAATATTATTACATAGATTCCTTGGTGATTTCCTGACATGATGAAAATAAAGTCATGATGAAAAATTTTCAGATCAATTGAATTTTGAATTACATATGACCAAGATATTTACTTTTGTTTAAAAATTCCCAAAATAATATAACAAGAAATAATGAATCTAAGCATATGTTTTTTTTTTCTCAAGTTCTATATATTTTGAAACTTGAGCGGAAGAATGACCAATAAAGAGTCACTGAAGTATATAGAGTTCTATTTTCAATATTTGTCATAAAAACACAACTGAGACTTTTTTTTTTAAATTATTAAACTACACTCCTTATATTTTATTTAGAATTCAAATAATGTTTAACACACGTAGACTGTGAGGAAATTGGCAGAAAACATCAAAGCAGGCATTGTTGGGATAATAAAAAATCACAAACTTACTATCCCTCCCTATATCTATTATTTAATTTAAAATAAAAGAGAAATTTACATACCAAAAAAATTCTTTTGCATTTACATACCTAAAAGCTAAACTTTCATATTGTACATAAAAAATGTATCAGCATGAATCTCGAGAAAATCCAACAGACTAAAAGACGAGAAGATAAAGTCAAGAAGACCCATTAGTGAAAAACCACAAGACCCTTCAATGTAGCACCAAGAGACATAATTACCCTAGGACAAAGTTCCGCTGACCTGGAGCCAAAGTCGACTGGACAAAAGCCGTCCGAACCAATGGCCCAAACCTATCTAACCTAGCCAGGAAGAGGCTCTAGCCTGATCCCCACCTCAGTATTATTAGCCACCTCACAAGATTCACTAAGGCTCTTCATCAAAAGACCGAAGGTTTTAACTTGACACCTTTCAAAAGGTCCTCAAAGGACCAATTGTCAAAGGGGTGAAATATCTGTCGGATTACGATGATTCGCCCTCTGCTCGGCAGCCTGGTCTCATCCTGGCGACGGAAGTCCTCCATCTAGAGATGAAGAATAACGGTTGGACCAGAGCAACCAGCCGTCAGAGCCCAGTCAACCGAATTGTGTCCGAACGATCGAAGGTCATTAGAAGCCGACCGACAGATTCAAGCCAATCGAGCCAAAGATTAACTAATCAGAGGCAATCATCAAGTCTATTGGCAACCCCTACTTAGCATGGTTAGGTGGACGAACCTTGCCGAACCATGATCCTTTGACATCAAACGAACAAACAATATGGTAGCCAGGACATAGGCCTATTTATGTAAAATAACTAAAATATCATGTAACGTCTCATCCAAAACAGGGTACGTATGTAATTGTACACTTGGTACCTTCTATAAATAATAAGGTTATTTCTATAGTACATGATAATAAAAAATATTCTTACGGCTAATTATTGTGCACACTCTTT